GAAGTTGTTGCATTCTGTGTCAACTTGTGTGTGTAAGAGTGTTGTGGGGAGAGTGATCCTGAGGGAAGGACCAGTACCTGCTTATCATCCAGCGTAATTGTGGGGCAGGACAAAGTGTTTGGGTGTCTGTGGACAAGCAGCTTGTCAGAACGCTGCTCTGCTGGCTTCAGCTGAGCTTCCCTTTAAACCCCAGTGGATTGATACAGATGTGGTGTGATAGGCAACTCATCAGGTATTTCAAGTGCAGTTTGATTTTACACAGAACTCTAATAATGTGTCACTCCTCCAGCTCAGGTGCTGGTGCAGGTTGGTGCTCGCACCAGGATGTCACAGCTGACTGGGCAATAAGTTGATACCTGTGTTCAGCAGTGCAGGTGTGAAGGATGAGCTTTTCTCAGCTCAGTGCCTTCTCTTACCTTTGCTGTTCAAATTTCAGATCCCAAATGTCCCTCTAGATACCACTGCACACACGAGGCTGGTGTCCACAGTGTGGGCTTGACATGGATCAATAAGCTGCATAAATTCCTTGGATCAGGTGAGTGAGAGAAGGGAGCAACAGCTGAACACCTGCACTTTGCCAGCTGCAGGTTGGGGGATGCAGGTAGTACTGAATTCCTTACCCTGCCAGGTGGATCTGATGCATTCTGACATGTCTCTCTGTAGATGAGGAAGACAAAGACAGTTTGCAAGAGCTGGGAGCAGAACAGAAGTGCTTTGTTGAACATATTCTTTGTACAAAACCGTTGCCTTGCAGGTAAAAACCAAACCCTTTCTCAATTGCTTTCAAATCAGGGAGTTGCTGGGGAAAATATTTATGATTTGTCACCTTCTGCTGCATTTTTGCCATTAAAAGTAATAAAGTTAGCTCAGAAGAATTCAAATAACACAAGTAAGCAAATTGTGTGTCAGGATTCCTAATGCACAGTTAGGGAAGTAGCTTAAATTCCTGTGATACTGTCTGAAAATCACCTCTCAGACCAGCAGAAATTTTCACTTCCATTTCCCTGGAGCTTTTCCAAGAGTGAATGTGCACAACTTGATGAACAGAGAACTCTTCTGACCAGGTAATTCTTGTGTTTTCTTCCCTTCAGGCAGCCTGCTCCCATCAGAGGATTTTGGATCGTTTCTGACATCCTGGGGCCCACAATGATCTGCATCACCAACACCTATGAGTGTATTACCAGGCCTCTCTTGTAAGTGGCTCTGAATTGGTTTGAAGTCCCTGGCAGCTGCACATGGAAAGGACCTCAAGACATTGCTGTTTTTCACTACTCTTTGATTCTTTATTTTCGTTTTTATAATAAGGAATCTGCAAATCAAAACCTCGTTTACAGACAGTGGTGTGGAGATTCCTAATGGGTACCAAGGTTGTGTTTGCATGGGGGGGGTGGGGAAGTGGGATTTTAGTATGTGCTTCCAAAGTTGCTTTGTTTGGAGGTGGTGGCAAAGATAGAGAGTGGTGTGGTAAATGTGCATTTGCACAACTAAATATACACCTTGAGGGGAGGGCACTGTTTTCAGCTTTTAATGCAGGACAGGTGCCATCAGCAGAGCCAGTATTAATGTCAGGTTCTCCTACAGACATTCATTTATTTCACTGTTTCCACACAGGTGGGCAGTGACCTGGCAGGCTCCTTTGCAAAGTCAGGTCACTGCTGTTCCAGCACTTGCTTGCCTTGTTCTGCAACTTCCTGATCCTTGAGTCAAAGGATATTCACGACTCCTGCTCCAAACTGGGAGCTGTTGGGGTGGGAGCTCCACCAGCCTTGTCCAGGGCTGGATTTACCAGGGAATTGAAACAGTTTCTCTCAGAACCCCCTGGTGTGACAGGATGGTGGATGAGTCCCTCCCGTTAGCAGTTGAACTCTGCCGTGGTTTGTGTTTTGGTTTAACTGTGCTGTCCCTGTGCTGTTCTGTGGCAGGAGCACAGTCCATCCTGCGTCCCCTCCCCTGCTCTGCACCAGGGAGGACACGGACCCGGCCGTGTCCCCGCTCCGCATCGTGGCCGAGTCAGAGCATTCCTTCGAGAAGCACATCCAGGGCATCCTGCAGCGCAGCTCTGCCAACCCCCTGCACCTCAAGTGAGCAGAGATGTGTTCCTGGGCCACCTGCAGAGGGAACAGTCTGTGTTCATCAGCTCCTGCTGGGTGTGGCAGGGATGGGGTACAGCTCCTGCTGCCTCTGTCCATACAGGAATGGCATCCAGTCCAGGGACGATGTTGCTGGGAAGGAGATCACCTTGCTCCAGTCCCCTGCCCCAAGCAGGGCTACCCTCAGCTCATCAGGCTGCTCATTGGGTTTGGAGTATCTTGGGATACCCCAGGATTTCCTCATACAAGAAAAATTACTTCTAGGGAAGGCATTTAATTGTAATCCCTCACTTCCATAACCAAATTCCTCTGAGCTCTTACTGTAAACACTGGAAGTGGTTTAGCCTTTCAGAGGAACATTTAGAGTAAGATTGCAAAAACCTCTCTCTCTTATTCTTTAGGTCTGCAGATAAAGATGCTGCCCCTCCCCCTGAGGAATGCCTGCAGCTCCTCAGCAGAGCCACACAGGTGTTCAGGGAGGAATATATCCTGAAACAGGACCTGGCAAAAGAGGAAATCCAGCAAAGGTGATGCAAAACCCTCAGAAATACGTGTTGGGCAACCTCCCTGTGACACAGCAGCACAGAGTGCTGAGCACTCACCCTGCTGAGGGGCTAAGCCTTGGGGATGAGGAAATGTGCTAAATGCAAGAGTAACACTGGAATACCAGAACTGGAAATTGAGTTACCAGGGAAAGCAGGGGGGAGTGGAACACTTATCTCTGTAGTGGCTCATAGGGGAAAGATAATTAAATACTGCACTGGCTGTTGTCAGTCTGCCAGTGCAGGGGGGCAGGAAATCTGACTCAGCACTAATCCTGACAGAGGAAAACTGCCTTGAGCCTCTGCTGGTTCAAATCATAGTTATGCTGTACAGTTAGGACAAAATGGAAGAGTTTGTTCCCACCACTGCCCCTTTTTCAGTGTCTGTAGTTCTTCCTACTCCCAGCATTTTCTGTGTGCTGTAAATCCTGATTCATCTGTCCATAGATGGTTTATTTTTTTTGTTTATATTCAGAGTGAAGCTGCTGTGGGGACAGAAAAAGAAACAACTGGAAGATCTGAATTACTGCCGAGAGGAGAGGTGAGTGGAACCTGTTGCTTTGACCAGGTCCAGCAGCAGGAATGATGCACCTTTGTGTGTAAATGTGAAGGAAATGAACGTTTGTCCCTTGCATTAAGGAAAAGTCTGCGGGAAATGGCCGAGCGCTTGGCGGACAAGTACGAAGAGGCCAAGGAGAAACAGGAAGACATCATGAACAGGTGAGTGCACACAGGGCTCTGGCTCAGCACCCAGCTCTGCTGCTGTGGCAGGGCAGAGGGGGCAGAAGGTGCTGCGCTGGTTTGTCACGAGCCTGGGCCTCTCAAAGTCCCTGCAGGCCCAGCCTGAGCCAGCTCACAGGTGCCACGTGAGACCAGCTGAGCCCTGGCACTTGGGCACTGGGAGGATACAGCACCAGGCTGCAGTGGCTTAGGATAACTGGGCTACCAGGGAAGTTAATTCAGCACCATTTCTGGCTTTGTTCATCAAGGATGAAGAAAGTCCTTCGGAGTTTCCACTCTCAGCTTCCTGTTCTATCCGACACCGAGAAAGATATGAAGAAGGAACTGCAGACAATTCATGACCAGCTGCAGCACCTGAGCAATGCCATCAGACAGGTGAGGGGAGGATGGCCCTGCCTGGTGGGTTACTGACAGCTCCTCACTCAGTGCTGACAGAACAGTCCTGCCAACAGAGCAGTTTGTACTTGTGTTAATTGCCAGCAATGCACTAAAGGGACTGTGTGTCTTGTTGGTAATAGAGACAAACCCTCAGAGAGCTCCCCCTTCCTCAGCCCTGGCAGGGACATTTCTTCTCTTTGCAGAAGGAAGAGTGCAAAAGCAGGCAGATTTTAACCCCAAAAGAATCAGGTCATTGCAGCATAACACACCAGTCTGTAACTAAGAAGCTTTCAGCGTGGCAGGACTGACCAGCCCTGACTGGGGCCTTCCTTTCTGTACCCGCCTTCCAGGTGAAAATGAAGAAGGAATACCAGCAGAAGCAGATGGAGAAGGGGCTCAGCCCTCGCAAGCCCAGCATCAGCCTCAGTGCCTACCAGAGCAAGTGCATCCAAACCGTCCTGAGAGAGGAGTAAGTTCCACTTGGCTCCTGCGGAATCCAGGCCCCAGCACTGACAGGAGCAGTTCAGGTGTCTGGGGTGTCATGGGAGCTGTGCTTGAGGGGCTGAGGAGGGGCTGAGGCACCAGCTGGGGCTGGGGGAGAGGGGCTGAAGCTCCTGGGAGCAGCACTTGAATACATCTGCTTCAATACATCTGCTGCCAGTGATGTTTGCCCCTGGATTCTGGGCCCTCTGTATCCAGCCTGGGATCACAAAACAACTTGCACCAGTGCTCCCATTCCCTCCTTCTACCACCTGAAGAGTTTCCCTTCCTGATTAGTTTTGAGCAAACGTGACCTGCAGAGTTTTAACTTGGATTGTTTTCCCTTGAAGGGGAGAACACATCAGGGAGATGGTGAAGCAGATCAACGACATCAGAAGCCACGTGAACTTCTAACACGTCATCCTGCACCGACAGGCTGGAGGAGCTTTAACTGGTATTTCCCCTTGTATATTTGCCATTTGTATGTTGAACAATACGCCTTATTATTTTGTAAAGAACTGTGAAATAAAATACTTTTGATAAGACTCCTTACGTGCCGTGGTGTTTTGCTTTCCTCCTGGGAAGGGGATGGTGCAGCAGGTGCTTTATCTTCAGTGTCACACCTACAGCTACCTCAGGAGCGGGGCATTGCTGCTGCCTTCGGAAAGCTCCCTGGAGTTATCCTGGGATAGTCTCCCAACCCTGCTCCAGGAGGGCTGCCCAGGGGAAGGCCTGTGGCAAGGAGGCAAAGACCAGAGCAGTGCACACACACACTTCAGCAGCTTTTTTTAATTTGGAACACTTTCTCCATAGAGGACACACCTTCAATACAGTTAACAAATGGTTACACTGGAATCCTGGAGACAGCAGAATTCTACACCCACGATTGCACAGGACACCAATGGCTTGGCTCACTGGAATGCAATATTAACTTCCAAACAGTTTGCCTTGAGCAAAAGATGGCCCTGGAGTCCCTCTCGCCATTGAAAGGCCAATTCAGTATCTGCTGTTGACAGACTCTAGTGGACAATAAATAGTTGTTGTCCCTCCCCCCTTCCCCTTAGAAAAGGCGACACGTCAAGCTCAGGTTTGAACAGGAGTTACTGCACTGCTGGAACGTGGCACAGCAGGGGGTGCCGGGGAAGCTGCTGGGGAGGGAGGGAGGGCTGGGACAGCCGGGGAACAGGGTTACCTGACATGCTGCAAGAACACTTTTGTACAGAGTAAGACTATACAGGTACAGGAATGCAGACAGACCTCGATCTCGCCCCTGTCACAGCCCGCACCACCAGCTCACCCCCTGGATCGCAGCTGACCTGGTTACAAAGCACTGCCTGAGCGGAAGGAACCCACCCCCCGACCCCAACCACGCTCCAGAACACCCAGAACTGGAAGGAAGAGCATCTGTTTTCTCATGTCCATGAGCAGTAACACCGTTAATCCACCACCCAGTGAGTATCGACACCAAGAGCTTTCACTACATTTACAGTCTTTTAAATTTGCTCTGCACATTTGGCACACACTGTACTGTTTGGTTTTTAAAGGCCCCTTCAAGTTTCTGCAGTTCGAGTTCAGCAGAAGCTCAGAGCTGCTGCTGAAGCTGTGCTGTCCTTCCCCAGGAGGGACAGCTGTTTGCAGGGAGCTCATCTCCCACCACTGCTGGGAACAACCAGGCTTCCAATTGCAACAGAAACGGTTTAAAAGTCTGATCTAAAGTTAAACACCAGCTGGTGAAGAAGCTGACTCGTGTTCCAAAGCTAAAATGGCCACAGGTACTGACCCAGGAGCACTGGGTGTGCAGGGCGGGATGGAACAAGGTGGTGAAAAGGAAAACAACCGTGCAGGAATTCTCTGCCCGTCCTCTCCAAACAGAAAGAAGTTCCTCCACAGACTCAAACTGTGCCTGGTTCACAAGCAAGAAACACCCACACACCCCACACGCTCTCACACTCACACCCCAGGCAGGCAGAGCTGCGTTTGGCAACAGCTACGCTGGTCCTGTGGCTACGAAGGAGCCCAAAGCACCTGCCCACTCACCTCCTTCCCCACAGCTGCAGCCACCACCTCACCCTGACACCCCCCTGTCAAACAGCCTGTAAAAAACACAGCCAAGGAACAGCCACACCAGCCCTGGACCATCTGAAATCATCTCTCACACTGGGACAGTCCAGAAACTCAGCCAAAAATCCTTCTACTGTGCAAGTCCTCGAGGTGCGGTTCCTCAAGGGCTCAGTTGCTCAAGAGGGTACAGGAGGGGGTGCAGTTTTACCACACAAGAGGCCTCCTCACCCTGCTACAACAGGTGAAGTGTCACCAGGTACAGTAACCAACTCAGCAACCAGTTACACCTCCGTTTTTGGGAAGGGAGGGGGAGAACAGAGGCAAAAGCTTCTCATTCTGCAGCTCCTACCAAAGGCCTGTATTTTTGTCTCCAAAGTTGACCCAGCACAACAGGACCCCAACCACTGGAAAGCTGAATGCAGAACACCTGGGACTGGATTTCTGCATCAGGACCCAGCTGCTGTCACCCTCAGCTCAGCACAGAGTGAGAAAGGTTAAAGAAAGCATAATCTGGTAATAGCCAAATACCAAAGACCCAAGTCACACTTCACTGTCACTTTTATGTGAAATTAAGTGTCATCTTAAGAAGATGACAGCCCTGCCATCTGTTAGTCTAGTCATTGCTAAGGTGGGACAAATGGCTTTTGGGTGTCAGGATTATGAAGGGGATTAATCACTAGGGTGAATAAAATGCTTTAATTCTTGCAGGGAGTGACAAGGAATTGAGCTGCTTTTTGGCTGCTTTTAAGGCATTCCTCTTCAAAACCACCACTTCTGACTTTGTGTCAGTAGCAGGATATCCACTGCTAAAAATAGGATTTAAGCACTTAAAATACAGTCATGTGCATGGCAGTTTGGAGCATTTTCTGTCACTTTTGAAGGTGATGAAGAAAAGCAGATCTGTGACCAAGGACATAAAGAAAAAACAGTAAGGAATGGAGGAAAGTCTAAGAAGTTTTGGACAGTGTGATCTGCTCCTCCAGCCTCCTCCTTTTAAATGAGGTTTAAGTAGGGACCATTCTGAAGAACTGGGTTTGCACCACCAGCATCAACACCTGCAGCCATAGAGGAAACCATCCAGCTGTGTGCCTGGAACTGCAGCAGCTGGAGGAGGAGGAATGCTCACGTTACCCCTGGACATTTACAGAACAAGAAACCCAAGCCTGGCAGCTGAATTCTGATCACCAGAATTCCCTGCCCCTGCAGTACACGGTAAATGTCTGGGTACAGAAGGGTGGGACAGTCCCCTCTGACACCAGACCTCCCCCAGCAGCTGCCCTGAGCCTGCCCAGCTGCACCAGCACAGTCCTGCAGCTCCTGCACACCCGAGCCCTGAGTGGGAGCGAGGAATCCCTGCCTGCAGGGGCTGATCCAGCACAGCCCCTTCCCCTGACCCCTCCTGCCCTGCTGCCGGTGTGACCCCCAGCAGAGCAGCCCTGCATCCCCTCGTGCCAGTGCTCACACACTGCACAGGGCTTTCACCAGCTTGGGTTGGCTGGATTTGTTTGGTTTAATGGGTTTTTTTCCCCAAGGGAAGGGATTCCAGGTACTGCTCAGCTTTAGAGATGAGAAACAACCGGTTGTAGCTCCGTATTCTGAATTACATTTGTGAGAAGAGATTACAAAACAGTGCATTTCTTGTGCTTTTCTCTCAGTATCTGAATTCAACAGAAAAATGGCAAGGAGATAAATTCTCAGTACAGTTTTCATTTTTCTTTTGGATTAGCATTTATCTGTCCAGGAGAGACACAGCTCACTCACATCCACGTTTCAGCAGCATTCAGATTCTTCACAGAGCCAATGGTTTAAAAAAAAAACAAAACAAAACAAAAGAAGTACTGAGTTATGAAATAAGATCAATATCCAGTGTCCTGCTAATAAAGTCATATTTTAATATAAAATATTCATACAGCATACTCTACACCTCATCCTCTCTGCTAGCTGAATACTGTTACTGACTATTCAAACAGAAAAACTTCAACCACTTTGCTCTTCCACGTTTTGGAGGGACAATACGGTTTCCAGCAGCTACTTTGATCACAGTAGTGGGGGAAAGGACAGAGGGAAAGACAGGGGTAAATGTTCCAAAACTCTATATTAGGTTACGAAGTCGGCTGAAAGAGGGAAGTTTTTCAGAATGTAAGGACTGATCCCACTCAGTGGAACACGAAACACCGCACTCATTAGTGTTTCCATTAGAAAGTTCTCCTTCCTACCCTGCAAGTCACCCTTGTGCTCTCTCTTCCTGCCCAGTACGAAACCTTTTTTTCCCCTCTAGAAACAAAACTCAAGCCATTGCTCCCCTCTGTTGTCTTCTGCTCTTTCGGTTAGAGTTAAATAATAATTAATGTCGCTATAAAGATGAGTTAAAAACCCCCGCCGCGGCCGCGGGGCTGCCCCCGCAGGGTGTCATGTTTCGGGGAGCTGGTTAATGTCCGTCAGTTTTGTGTCGTTCAGGATTGCACGGATTCTCTCCAGGGAATCTGCCTGCCGGATCCGCTCCAGCTGCACCTGCAGGGAACCAACCAGAGGTACTGCGGTGAGCAGAGCTGAGCGCCCCGAGCACAGCCCGCCCCCAGGGAGCAGCAGAGACCATACTGGCTGAGCACGGCACGGCGGGAGCTGAGCCCCAGCTTAATTTGGGCCCAAGGCACGAGGCAGTTGTGATTTTACAAGCAAACCCTCCCCATCATTCCCTTTTGCCACTGACCCCGCCCTGGCAAACTGGGAAACTCTCCCAGAAAAGAACGTAAAGGAGGCTCAGAGCAGCCTGATGTGTGCCCTGGAGCCTCCCCAGCCCACAGCCAAAACGCTCGTGGAGGAAACATCCCGCTTCCAAGCTCACTCCTGTTACTTGCTCTGCTGATAATCCACCTTTAAGCTGTTTCTTATATGCTGAAACCGTGCCCAGCAGAACTGTGGTGAAATGAATGCGAAGAGCACAATTTATTTATGTATCACATCCAAACCTTCACATTCTCTCAATTAAGATCTGGGCTTTCAGTTATAAATTCCCACCTAGCATTTAATTGATTTTCAGCCCTTCCTCTGCACTGCTGATTCCTAATTTGGCCAGTGGGCCCCTCACAGGAGGGGTACTTGCCCAGGATCTCCAGTGACAAGGCCAGGGAAGGGGATAATCCTGCCAATAAACCCCAATCCTCATTCAGTGGCAATCTCACACAGCAGATCCTGTACCAGGTACATGGAGATGGCACAGGCCACTGTTTAAACTGGAAGCACAAACTATTGAGACACTGATGTGCAGTAAGTGCTTAGGGCAGAGAGAAAGCACCAAATGCAGAGCTACAGCCCTCACTGAGCTCGTCCTGAAGTTGTACTAAACTACCTGCAAGTTTTGGAAGGGTCCACCACACACCTTCAAAGTGGTGGATATGTTTGCCATAAGAACTGCAATAAATAAATTAACAAAGAGAGGATGATGACAAGCAAGAAGCAACTTCCCAAGCCAGGACAATTCAACAGCCTCCTTTGTCCTACCCACTCCTCCTCCAGACACAGCCAGAACAAGAGAGGACAGATCTCTATTGTCCACCCAGCTAAACTCTGTCTAGTAAACAACTTCCCATGTTCTGGTTTTGGTTTTCTACATAAACCTGAATGCTTGATTTAAAAACCTGTGTTTTTCACTCTGAGCAGCCTGGCCAAGGACTCAGCCCTTCCTCTGTGAGCAAAACAAGCTGGGGCATAAAGGGGGTGCAAATCCTGCAAACACAGACCCTGAGGGTGAGACCAGCCCAGCCTTGGCTTCCTGAGGGACAGTCAGTGACTCTGCAAACACAAACTGCAGGTCCCTTCATGTTCTGACAAAGTGACAAACCAAGAACTGGCCTCCAGGAATACTCCTTCCTCTGGCATCTCATCATCCACCACAGCTGCCACTTTTTGGAGGGAATACAAGGAAAGCAACAGTGACAACAGCAAGGATAAGACTTTTAGAGGGTATAAACAAAGCAGGAACTCTGACACAAAGACCCCTTTCATCCATTCATATCAAACAGTGCAAGTTCTTCACTTTGTCCTCAAATATTTGCACTCTAATGATTTACTATGAAAAGTAACACAGGAGATGGACAATGAAAAACAGGGATCTGAAGGTACCATCCTTTATGGCTCTTCACAGTTCTTTTAGCACAATAATTGTGTATCTTTGCTGCTTAGAATCAGCTGGAATTAAGTAATCAGAATAAAACCCCAGTTATACTATCAACTTTTAAAATAGTCCCTGAACACCAATGTGAGAAAATTACCACTGCTACTTCTCATTTTACACAGAAACAATGAAACTAAACTAGCACCCCACAAACTGATCACACTTTCCTTACCTGAAGTGTCTGAGAAAGCTTTACAAAGTCTCTCTGCACTTGCTCACTGACATCCAATTCAGTCTGCAAACGCTGGGCTTTGTTCTTCTCCTCAAACACCAGCTGCTCCAGGTTGGCCTGCAGAGAAAGAGACTCTTTATGCCATGCTTAAACTGGATAAAAAACAGTAGAAGCTTCTATAAAGTGATTAAAGAGTGACAGCAGAGCAAAGCAGCAGGTTATTCTCAGAGTCCTGGCAACACATTAAGCCAGCCTTTCTACAACTCAGTTTTCCCAACTGCACAACCAGGGCTGATATCCACTGATACCAGGGCTGATATCCACTGATACCCACCAAACCAGGGCTGATATCCACTGATACCCACCAAACCAGGGCTGATATCCACTGATACCCACCAAACCAGGGCTGATATCCACAGATACCCACCACCAAGTGTCCTTAGGTGGTTAAAGCATGAAAAGCCCAGTGGCTGTTGTTACCAGCTGTGACCAAGGATCTTCAAACACAGAGTTCTGACTTTTAATGAAATCTGATCACAGATAAGGGCAGTAATCTGCTGCTGAAAACACAACTGTGGCCAGTTTTAGTCAAAAAAGTATTTGGGGGAAGGAAAAAAAACCCAAATGAGGGTGAGAAGGCAATTCAGCCCCACTGCTTTATAAATCCAAGTGCTAAGGGGTTGGGTGAGGATTTAACCCACACCCAGGGGACACTGTTTCTCTGCCAGTTTTTTTACCAACATTCAAAAGCTTCCTTTTTTTTTTTCATTCTTGTGTAGTGGCACATTCTCTGGCCACAGCTGACCAGCACTAATGATGCAGATACACCCCACACCCATCACAGCTACCTTTGCTGCAGTCTCCTTCTTCAGCTGTTCTTCTAGAATGTTCTTTGCTTCCTGCAGACTCTCAAGCTGCTGCAGGTTTTCCTGTGAAGAACTTTCCAACTATATAATAATAATTAAAAAAAAAAAAGTTATTAAATAAAGCTCCCCAACATTTCAATCTTCCTCCAGTCCCTCCACAGGGAAGCACAGCCCAAGTATCTTCCTGGGCCTCAGAAATACACCTAAATAAACCTCTTCCAGGGATAAAGAAAATACCTGAAATAACATCTTTCTCTCCATCTATCTCTTTTTGCAGCTGGAGAGAAATGTTCAAAGGCAACATTTAGGTTAGAACTAGGTAGCCTTGTATTAGTTAGGAATTAGTTAACCCAATATTTAGGTTATAGATTAATAAACAGACCAAACACCTTCTAAGGAACAGAACTATGAATGTGTCCCAGTCCTACACTGGCATCAATACAGGAAAAAAAAGAACCCTTTGTTTAAAAAACAAAACCAAAACCAAAAATCCCACAGTGAAAGGGCTCCTTACCTGTTCTTTTTCCACTTTTATTCTTTCCAGTTCAGCTTTTAAACTGGAAATGGAAGCTGAAAAACAAAGAGTATTAAAGCTTAAATGCAGGAAACACAGAAAATTATTCACACCCTGTTTACTGCCATTAATATTTAAAGGAGGATTAAGCCCGTGTTACATCAAAGGTACCTCAAAAGCAAACAAGCACAAAAGATTGTACTTTTGTTTTCAGAAGCACAGTTTGGTGTATCTGCTATCAAAAGTGGCCAGCATTTAGAATTCAGGTAAGTCAACTCATCACAAAACCAAGTCTTAGTGCATCTCCTGAATTTCTAATATTCCTATTCCGAGACTCTTTCACCCCTGGCCTCACCTATTTCCTCTTTGCAATTCTCTATTTCCAGCTGCAGGGTTTCTTCTATATTTTCCTTCAGATACTGTTCAGCCTGAATCTGTTCTTTCAGGAATAAAATCTCGGCCTTGAGCTTCTCCTCGAGGTGATCTGCTGCTGTCCTCACGCTGATGATGTCCTGCCGGTACTTCAGGATCAGCTCCCGGAGCTCCTGCGTTGGGAAATGTGGGGGTCAGGCTCTTCAGCACTGTGTTCATCAGCACCCAAAGCAATCAGAGACAAAGCTGTGCTGCCCTGAGGTCTCTCCCATCCTACCACACCCTGCATCTATCAAGGTATCAGAGCAAAAATCGAGGTTTTTAAGGTTTTTTTGGCCACAGGAAACGAAGAAAGTGAAGATTTGTGTCCCCACAGGCTTATGATGCTGCTCTCCCTGCCCTTCACCTCCCCCAGGGCTTTAATCTTGAACAAAGGGAGTGGCCATGGAAGGGATGATGAGGTTTATCATTATTCAAGGCTCAGGATTCTTACTGGTCTTAACTGGACAGGAGTGACTTTGCCTGACTCATTGAATCAATACCCTGGAGCCCTGGGGACTGAACACTCGTGGGCCCAGTTGCAAAATACACCTTAAACTGGCTGAGCTGGGATAAACCCACACTCCACTGACGACAGAGCAGCCATCAGGCCAGAGTTAACTCATTTTAGTATCATTTATCCTCACCATGAGCTGTGCCAATGGCATAGTGGGATTAGGCTGCTGGTTTTGCACAGCACAGACTTACAGGGTTAAAAATCCCAATTACTGCTCACTGACAGCTTTTTGATAAAGAACAACATTCCAGTGAGATCCAGCCACATGCACTGTTGGTGTTAGTGAGTTGAAAATGTTTTACCTCTGCTGCTTCTGGTAGGATGAAATCTTCAGCCTGCTGTAAAGACACGTGCAAGCTGTGCTTGCCTTGAAGACTTTCATTATCTTTTTGCAGTCTCACCAGCTCTTCTGAAACCTGCTCCCTTGACTGTGTCAGGACCGCCTCCAATGCAAAGAAAAGCATAAATTCTCACTTAGGGTCATGCTTAGATCTCTTCTGCTCCATTTACCATCACCGGCAAACGCTTTCAAAAGTCTGGGGAACTGATTTTCTTGGTGAAGGAAGGAAGTAAAGTGATGGTGTGGATCAACATGAGCCTCTTGCCTGGCCTGTGCACCAGGAATAAAGGCAAGATCAACTTGAACTGTGCAGGCAGAGAGGAGGAAGCAAGTGATGAGCACAGCATTGCTCAGTCTCCCACTTTTCTGCTGGATTTATCCCTCAACTGGCTGTGCTCGTGGAGGGGTAGGAGTGGGGGAATCACATGTGGTTTCAGTGTGATGTTTACTGAAGTGTTTATTAAAATGACAGCACTCAGCTGTAGGAGCAGGTTATTAAAAACCCTGAAGCATTCCTCCTGAAACTTTCCATGGGAGGTGTCTGCCTCCCACTGCTGTCTGAGGGAAACATCAAAACAGGTGATGCCTTGTAAAGGAAAAGGATTAAGGGGACATGCTTTGCCTGCATTATAAAAGGGAAAAAAAAACATCAGTGAACTTTTCCAAGAGGAATGGTTGCTTTGGAATGGGGAACCAGGGACTTGAGCCCTGACAGGAACTGGGCCATGGGTGGGCAGCAGGAAAAGCAGGCTCACATTAATGTATTTTCTGGATCTCCTGCACCTCCTCAGACGTGCCCTCCCACACAACATCTCTGCAAGCAGTGCCCTGATGTCCTACAGACAACCCCAGAAATACTGGGATTTATTAGGATGAATTCTCTCAGTCCCCCAGAAATGCCAGGGAGGAAAAAAGAACCACCTTGATTCTAATACAGGAGGGAATGAATTGCTCTAAGGAAGCCAAGCTTAGTTCTAGAACACGAGGTCCCACTCCTATTCTCTGGCTTAATTCCAACAAGATGCTCAAAAATAGTTTACAAAAATTAAGTTCCCATCCATATCTCTTCTGGGTGTTAGGGCTGACATTTTAAGTCTGACCTGTAAAAAAACACCGAGCATTCATCTCTAAAACTCAAGGAAATATTCACGAGTGATGGTGCTTGTGCTGGATCCTGAAAAACTGCCTGGAGAAATTCTACTGCCTTCAGATTGGAGGTAAAATTGAGATACTAAAAGGGCATGAAATGTAGATAATGAATAAGGGGAAAAGAAGTTACCTAGGGATCTCCATGCACATAAATATGCATGAACACACCATAACAGACCCACACAAACTGCCCCAGGTCCAGGTCTTGCCATCACAGCTCACTTGACCAATATCTTTACAAGTCAAAGATGCTCAGCTCTCTGCAGCCAACTGGGCAGCAACACAAAGTCTTTTACAAACACTTTTGGGTTTCACCTGCCCTTACCATTTGCTCCTGGACACTCCTCTTGGCTTGCAGAAACGCCTGCTGCAGTTCACTGAGGAAGTTCTCTGACTTCTGACACTTGGCCATGAGCAGGGAGATCTGAAAAGAAGAAAACCCGCACAGACATGCTAGAAATAAAGCATGAAACACATTTTGAAGAAGAAATAACCCCCAAAGTCTTCCTGCCTGTTATTAGTATTAAATGCTTTGACATTTCAAACTAATCCCCTGAGGTTTATGCTGTTAATTCCTCCTTCAGTAAAACAGGAGTGCAGCTCACGGCAGTAAGGAGAGATGCTGTGCTTCTATGCCTATAATACACTTATATTCTATTTACCAAACTCTAAGCAACAAACAAACAGTTAATTCTAATCAAATTTAAAAGTAAGCCAGTTCACAGACACTAAAAGGAAGCTGCAGAGGGTTTTTTCAGTTTTCAGCATTTTTAAGGAAGCTTTTGTACTTTTTCCTGAAAGCACTCACCTTCAAAAAGTTCACTTCTATGGTTATTTACTTTATTGTCTTTTACAAAACCAATAACTTTTAAGTTCTTCTTATTGTGTTATTATACACCACCACAAGACAACAATAAGATTAAGCATTACTTAATTGAGAGTATGTTTGGGTCATTTCATACACAGGGCACTTCCAAACTCAAACACTACCCAAATTCCTGTTATCACTCTGTAACGGATTTCAAGATTAGAGCTGACATTTTAATGCCAAAATTTGGTAGCATCATATTAGAGACATGTCAGATTTATCCAGAAACTGTGCAGACTCAGGTGGAGCAAAACTAACCTAGAAATTCTCATTTGTGTTGCCTCCACAGTCCCTACTCCCTCTGTATCTAACACAAGATGAGTTCTGGTTTCAGACTTCTGAAGAGCAAGATTCCCACCACCTCAAGTACCAAATGTACCTGATTAGAGGAGTCTTCAGCACTTTGTTTCATGTAATCCTCCAATTCCTGCTTCTCTTTCATGGTCTTCTCCAGCTGGTCATTCGCCTGCCTCAGCATCACCTGCAGCTTTTTCACCTAGGTGGGCACAACCCAATCATTTCATTTCCCATTCTCTCAGGGAGCATTTATTTCCTGAGCCACAACACACCCCCAAACCATAAAACCAAGTCCAGCAACCCCAAAGATCCTTTGCTGCTCTTCTGAAACACCCCCCAGCACAGATTATCCCTCTGAGGAAACGTGGGACACCAAACTGCTCTGGCCCATTGCCAAGGAATGACTTCAATCACTCATTTCAGAGCAGAATGTGACTCATCTGAAAACTGTTCCTCAGTACATGGCAGGAAACAAAGATCCTCCAGGACCCTACAGTCATTTTATGCTGTTAGGATGAGGTCCTTTTCTGTTAACAGCTCTTCCAGTATCAAAGATAATAGAATTTAATGCATGACAAGCATTTTAAAATATAAATTATGAAAGACACTGACTTCAGCATGGGCAGAACACTTTTTATAGAACAGGGCCTTTACTGCAGGGTCTTGTAGCACCAGATAAAGTGGTCCTTGGAGGTGAATCCTTCAGAAATACGTACACATTGGTGCCCATGACCACACAAAAATAACAGATTATTTCACTAAAATGAATGTCAGGCGTTATCTAGATTTTAAGTATGTTGACACTGCTCAATTAAAACCAAAGAATGGCTCACTGTTGCATCTTTAGCAGTTCAAACAGCTGCAAAAAAAAAAAACCAACTTTCTAAAGCAAGAAGAGAAATCCCACCTGGTCTCTGGTCTCGGCCTCCTGGATTTGGATGCCCTGCAGCTGCTTCTCGTAGTTGGAGCACATATCACAGCGCCTGCCCAGCTTGTTCCCTGCATTCTGCACCTGCACAACACACAGTTATCATCTTCCACAAATGCCATGGAGGTCTTCAAGGAATGCAGGAATGCCACACACCCTCAGGTGTGCTGTGTGATCACAGAATGTTACAGGTAAGTGTGTAATGGCAGGATTAAGCTGCTCTAAAAGGAAGGGATAACGTGAATCAGCTGTGGGACATCAGCCTTTCCTGGCCTGAGTCCCACTCTCAGCACAAACACAGTGAACCATGACATGGAAGAGCTCACCAAGTCACTCAGTGTGTCCTTCTGACACCAAGAAACCAAACAGGAGAGAAGAAAATAAAAGTGTGCAGCAGGGAAACAAAGAGTAAACCTGCTGCCAGTTGGGAACTGTAATGGTTTGGGGACAAGTGGAAGTTCTATCAAAGGCTCAGCTGCAAGTCAGGTTTGAGCTGAAACTGTGTTTGTGTTTGCTGCTCCACGTCCCACCCACGCTGAGTGGCATCCACACACCCAGGCTGTGCTCCTGCCTCCAGAAACACGTGGGAAGCAGCACATTTCTGCTCGGAATTCCAAGAAAGGGTTGGAGTAAAGCATCATCAGAATGGCAACAGGGCAAGGAAATACTCAAGAGTAGGGGATTTCACTCAGCTCTGAGATCAGGGGGCTGTCATTTCTCCAGACACAGCAAATCATCAGGAAAACAACAATAAAAAAGCAACTTTGCAACAGGTTTGGAGAAACCTCCTAAGTTATGATTTGCACTTAATTTGAACAAGTTAAGGAAATAAAAATATCATTAGTTCTTCATTTCAGCTGTCCTTTATCTGGCCTCTTCTTCCCTGTATTCTTACACTCCTTTTTTCCCCCCCATCTTGTCTTTCTTTCCACCTAGTATGGATTGTTATCTTCCCCCCATCCTTCCCTTTCTTCCCCTTAAAGTGCTGCTCCTTGGCCTCCCTTCCTCTGAAAGAGTAACCACAGGAACCCCCAAATACTCCCCTTTTCAGCAAGAAACCAAATGCAAGCTGTGAACTGGCATCCCATAAAGCTGCTGAAAATGGACAGGCAGAACACCCAGAAGCAACAATTTCCTTGGTCATCCACACTCAAACTGGCACAGGGCTCAGTCTAATCTGCTGCTTGTCGCTCTCAGAAATGGCTTTCTGATGATGCAAGTGCCTAAAAATTTCCTGAAGCTCCCTCTGTGGTAGCTTTGTGTGTTATGCGTATTTTGGATGCTCTTTTCCAAATTGCAGCCCGTCAGCAGCACTGTCAGCTTTGCTCCCTCCTGGTCATCCCCAGTTCCACTGTTCCCTTTCCTTAGGTTCCCATTTTCCCCTTCTCTTTGAGTTCTCCCATCTTTTTTCACCCTCTCCCACAATCATGAGACCAACAGCCATTCCTGCCAGACCCTCCCCGAAGTGAAAAGCATCCTGTGTTTAGTACAGGTGACTTTACTCTCTCCCACGAGCAGAGCCAGGTAACACTGTTTACATCCAGTGTGCTTCACCTACAGAAGCATTCCAAGAGGGAAAAGGGAATGGCTGCCTATGGCTCTTGCCCAGAGAAGCTGTGGCTGCCCCATCCCTGGAAGTGTCCCAGGCCAGGCTGGATGGGGCTTGGAACAACCTGGGCTGGTGGAAGGTGTCCCTGCCCATGGCAGGGGGTGGGACTGGATGGTCTTTAAGGTCCCTTCCAACCCAACCCATTCTGGGACTCTGTGATGATGCTTTCCAGGAGCTTCATTTCCACCAGCTCCCTGGAGCCCTCGGGGAGTGCTGCTGGCTGTGGTTTTCAAGGCATTTGGGAAGAGCAGCTGTTCTTTAAGTGATGCTGAGACAAAGGGAGCAGGTTATGGTGTCCTGCTCTCTCCTTTCACAGCTGGCTGTGTGTAAAGCAAAGGAGGCAGAGCTTTGCCCCTGGCAGGGCAGTGACAACAGCACTGGGGACTCACCTCTTTCTGCAGCAGGTTCCACTCGGTCTCGCTGACCAAGCGATACCCGCTGGGAGACACATAAGCACTCTCCACACCCTGGGTGACACTGGAAAGCAGGGAAGCAGTCTCTTCTTGCTCTGGTGTCATTGCTTTGATTGCTTTTTCCTGATCTTTGGTTAACATGAACCCACTTGGCATTTGCAGAGATCCAAGGGAAGCAGTATCAAAGTTCTCAGACACTGAATCTGCTCCAACGAGCGGTCCGAAATCCGACTCATCCAGGTTCCCAGCAGATTTGGCTTTGTTGTTGTACCCTAAAGCTTTGGATTGTAAAGATCCAGATGTCCCCAGACTGTCTGTTGACTGTGCTCTCCTTAGTCCATCTTTAAACATATCAGTGTCTGATTTATTGAAAGACTCTCCAGAAGAAAGCAGCAAGTCTGCATCCAGGGAATGGACTGAGCCGTGGGTGCTGTTCACCTGCACCTGCAGTGGGAAAACAAGCAATCCAAAATCACACACTCCACCTTGGTGAGGCACAAGAGGAATGCTGGACACCAATATCACACATGGTAAAGGCAAATTTAAATTGGCCTTGCCAAGAACATCTGATGGCAGAGGAAAGGACAGAGAACTGAAATGTGCCAGCTAGAATTAAAAAAAAAAAAACAAATAAAACAAGGAAGAGTCCTCTGTTAACAAAATGCTTTTGTAAGAACCTGTCTTCCTGCCAGACAAGCAAGGACACAGTCACCTTCCATCTTCCAATATTTGAGACAAGATGTTTCTTCCCCTAAAGAGATACACTTGCAATGCCCCTTCTACAGCTGTAACCTCCACAACAGAAGGCAAATACTGCACCTTCACTAGTAAATTCACCAGTCTTTATTCATAAACCAAGAAACTTTACATTAACAAAAAGATAAATAAAGAACGATACCCTTAAAAATCTACTCTGTACTGACAAGGGAATGTTGTTGTTCTGTTTCTTTCTTCTGCTTTGAGTGTCTCACAAAAATACTGACATATTTTCTTCACAAGATTATTTGTACATAAAATAAAACGCAAAGGGAAAAAGGTTGGGCTTGAACAGAAAGGCATCCCGGGGAAGGCCAGCACCAAAAGTCACACAAACTGTCCTGTGACGTGTCTGAGGCACATTAAGTCTCTTGATCTATTTTTATTTATTTTTGTAGCAGGGAAAAGAGAGCAGCAAGGCTTTATTTAAAAAGCATATGACTGCTTTCAAAATACCTTCCAATATATTATGCACTCCTGCTTTGCCATCAGACACAGGAAGAAAATAACACTGCAAAGCAGCCTCTTGAGAAAAATGATCACTTCTGAAATAGGTCCAGCAGAGACCAGCAGGCTGCTGGCACTTCATATAGATAATTATAATCAATATTATATATAAAATATATATAATATATATATATTATATATACACTACAGGATTATGACTGTTGTAAAATGCCTCGTTTTAATTGGTTTTTTTAGGTAATAATGTTTTTATTTGCATTTATATATAGGAGTTTAAGTTGATAATAAAAAAGTCAAGAGAATACAGACTGATATAAAACTGTATCTTCAGACAACAATTGTTTGGTGACAACCAAGAAAAGACCAACAAATCATCTGTCTGTGCTGCAAACTGCCCAACAGAGAAGGGCTCAGAACTCAAATTATGACAAGTTGTAAGACATGATGGATATTATGATTCATTACCAGAGATCAAACATGTTCTGTACAGTTTAAAAAGGTCACAAATAACAACAGAACCAAAGACATATGGAAACCAAAACACTTTGGAAACTAAGCTTCTGCAGCACAAAAACTTAGTGGGTTTTTATTAATTTTTCCTTATTTTGACCTACAAAGGCAGAATGGACCCTGTGAAATGGTAAGTCCAGAATTCAACACGTAGGTTGGCAAAGCAGCCACAATACCACTTGCTGAATGTTCAGATATAATTGGCTTAATTCTGAATATTTAGGTGTGCTAGAACATGGTTATAAAGCCCAAGAGAAGGTAACAGCAGTTCACATCCAGAAAGCAAAGTGTAAATTACCATTTTTAATGGCACCTCTCAGGGTTGTACAGTGTTGTCTCCCAATCTTTATTAGAATTTATATATTCAAGTACACCTCCAAGGATTTTTTGATTGCTTAATAAGAATTAGAAGCTACAGAGAATGAAGGACACTAACTCTGCATTTGCACCCTCAGGAATGTGCAAGTGAAAGATCCAGTGGTTTTACCTCTTCATTAGAGAGCTGGGTAAGGGTTTCCTCAGGGGCCAGAGAACATGAAGCTTTTGTTTCATCATCTGAATCTTTCTGCTTCTCCTCCTTTGTCTTGCTAAGCCTTTGCTGATCATCTTCTTCCTAGAAATCAGTGGTCAGTGGAGAACACATGTAAAATGGGATTCAATTTACCACAGTAGAAATTACATCAGTTTTCAAGATAAACTAACCTACAAAAAAGACACTGGGAAAATATTATTTTGGTTAAAATCCCCAGTGTTTATCACATAAATATTCTTTTAGTTAAAAGATTTAGTCTTGTTTTCACAAGGCACCCAAACTAACTTAAATGAGAACTCACTTTCCAAGCTTAGTGGCCGATTCATGAACAACTTTATTCAAAGAACAAATTACCGAGCTCAAAATTCTCATTATAGGTATTAACAAATAAGGAACAAAACCAGCTGCTACACTGGCTTTTGTACAGAATATATATATATATTTGCATCCCTAAAGGCCCATTAACAGCCATTTACAAGCATGAACAAGTGTGAAAAGAGGAAGTGCCTTGAGCACTCTAAAAAATGAAATATAAGGAAAAAGAATCCAAAGAAAGACATCATAGATCATTAAGTCATAAAGTATGCACACAATCATTGGCATATGATAAATAAAAACCAAGGTCTTAATTTATGCCTAAGATATGTATTTGACCGAGGAAACCCTGAAAGAAGTGAAACTTGCTGTCCTGCCATCCTTACCCCAGTTGTTTCCCCTCGTAGATTTCTTCCTTCAAGATTAATTTCTGGATATTATTACCTATTTAACTATTGGCAACATTACTTTTAAAGTTACTGTATACATTAATATTAAAATACTGGAGAGTTTCTGTTATCAAACTGTCAGCTGTCATTCAAAGGGAAGATTTCTGTTCAAACTGTCAGCTCTCAACTTTTGAAATACGAACACACTTATCTCCAACACGGGATTTCCACACCTGTTACACCACATTAAACCTACAGCATCCCCAAAAAACAAAGAGGAAAAGGGGGAAGCAGCCAGTAACCTGATCCTTTTTTTTCAGTTCTTCCACCTGCCGGAGCTGCTCCGAGGTCAGGACGATCTCCATCCTCTGCATGTCCCTCATCAGCAGACGCTGGGACTCCAGGAACTGGTCGTTGGCTTTTTGCCACGTGTGTTTCAGCTGGTTGTGCTGCTGCCTCTCTTGCTCTAAGAGGTGGCAAACTGTGCAGAAAGAGAGTCACTCTGAACCAGAAGTGTTTTAACAACTTTGCCAAAGAGATGCACCTCGGTGAATGAAAGTAGTTATTGTTCTAATCAAACAGTCAACCGCTCAGGATGGAATAAGACATTTTCTTAATTCCCAACCCTGGTTCGTGATTAGGGATGTATTACTGACAGTTTACAATTTCCCAGTGAGGAGACCAACACCTCAACTCCATTCATGAGTTCTAACAGTTTACTTTTTGTAGTGCTGGTTTTAAAAGACAGGCTCCCACATTCCTATTTATTTCAGCAGCAGGCTCTGGATTTCATTCCTCTGCACTCCAGCACCAGCACTGACACCCCTCAGGGAGCCACATCAATACATTATGGAAATAATGATCATAATTATACACAAATGAGACACATATAATAAGAATCAAGCTTACAATACTTTAAGAACTTAGAAATTCAACAGCATCCCTCGAGAAAATGAATGGCTCTGTTGATTTTCTCTGTCATAAAAGAACTCCACACATTCACAACTCTTCAGCAAACATTTTAAGGCCTTTCACATTTAAAAACACTGCTTCCCCCTCCCAGTTCCTTTAAATCCAATTCAAAGAAGAGATGAGGAAATAATTAACAGCTATGCTGGGGTTTGCATCCTTAAGTGAAAAAGAAGGAGAGGTTCATTCTCAGGGAGGTACCTTCATGGAGTTCTTTCCGAAGCTTCTCAGCATCTTCCTGCAGGACTGACTTCTGTGTGTTGAGAACAGCCACATACATCTCCAGGTCTGTCCTGCACGACTTCTCAGCTTCCAAATAATGGTTCAGTTCTTTAACCTGAACAAAAACAGGGGAAAAAAAATCAACCATCCCAGTCTGGGGACACTCTCAGGAATTTCCTTCTTGTTCGAAGTGACAGCGTCGCCTGTTCAGGTAAGGGATGGGTGCTGAAGGGGAAGTTTATTTCTAGAAATCACAAATATTCAACTACCAGTGTGCAAAGCAGTGCTTGTATTTATTTCTGAACACATTACTCACTAAAATTCTGCTCAGTCAAACCTATCAGTGTATCCCAGTTCTAACAGCTGGATCACAACAGCACTGAGATGGTAAAGGGGCAAAATATCCCAGGAAAGCAGACAGAGAGGCAATCCCTTAATTAGTGCTGATAAGCCAACAAATAAGTAGGATGTGGAGATGGTTTAAAATGCAGTAATAACAGTAGTCAGAAGACAGGACTATGGGGCAAGCTCGAACTAAGCCTAAGAAAAGAGAAAACTTCAGGATGGACAAGAAAAGGAACATTAAAACTCATGAAATATTCTTTCAAAAAGGAAATCTGTCATTCAAGAAATACTGAAGAAATATATCTCGATTTTTTTTCATCTTGTTTTTTAACCAGCAAAGCTAACAAAGAACTAACAAAGTCCTGCAGAGGCTGCAGAAGCTCTGGTGAGAACCTTTCAAGAGAGGGTTACATAAACCTCTGTCAGACACGATGGAGAAACAGATCCCATCTTGGAACAAGGAACAAGAGTGAAAGATCTCTTTATGGCACTACTCAGTTTTATGGTTTGCTGAGTCACAAATCATAGGAGGTTTTATCCTGGAGGAAACAAAAGCCTTCAGGCAGCTCCTCCCTGGCTCCACAGAGCTGTTTATCTTCCTCACCTCAGGCCGGGAGGCACCGACGCCAGCCTGGAGTTCAGGACAGCCCTTGGGCTCTGCCACTGATGGTGGGACAGCTTCTCCAGCCCCAGGACACCAAGTCTGCCATCTGCTAGAGCCTTTAAGCCTTTGAGATGGAAAAATCTGACTCCCAGAGTCTCTGTGGCTCCAAGTGTGACAATAATGTGAAGGCCAGGCTGCTGGAGAGGTGCAAAGCAGGTATTTTTTCTAGAGCTTTTTCCATTAAAGACCTGAAGCTGTGCAATTTACTCTGAGCACAGATCACACACACACACTGCCAACACCCAAAACAAAGACTGAAATACATATATATATATATATATATAGGCTAAATATGCCATTGGAGCTCCAGGAGACAAGATGTAGGGGGCACAAAGAGTTTCACAATATACACTTTTTTTCCTCTACAAAATTTGCCTTTACTTATCTGCACCAAACTAGCACATTGCAGGATACAAACAGGACCCAGTTAGAGCTCCACCTCACCTTGGATGCTTCCAACTCTTTGATTTTTTCTTCAGCTTCTCCCAGTTTCTCCTTGAGGGCTGCAATCTCCTTCTCCATGGGCATCACAACCGAACGCAGCTTCTCGGCATCTTCCTGGGCCTGCAGTTGAGGCAATAAATTGTAACTCATCATCATCATCATCATCAGTGTTCACCACAGCAGTTTCCATTATTGGAGACACTTGGAGGAAAATCCCTACATCAACCAAAAAAGCTGACTGAACTTCCACCCTCACTCCCACTTACTCAGTTCAGCAGCCACCTCAGTGACAACAGGCTGATATCACTCCATTCACAGAAGGCAACTAAATTTTAAATCCATGTATGGATTAGGCCATGAGTATCTGCTTTAGAAGAGAATGTTAGCAAATCTATCACTGCTGATACCTGAGAGAAAATCTATGGATCAAGCATTTCACTTTAATAACAGAAAAGGCCCAACTGTCCTGCAACACAGCACATAGAAAAACCCCAAAAGAACTGCATGCTGAGGTACTGGTCATGCAGCTGATTATTCAGGAAATTAAAAGGATCTGCAAATGACACACAGTTCAGATTGGTTCTGTTTTGGAAGATCATTTCTCAGCTTTAAATTACTCCTGATGTAGCATCGTGTTTTGGTGCTACTGTACTAAGTATTTCAAAATATACAGAGACAATTTATCACAAACCCCATGATTTTTTCAAATAGTTCTGAAAGATCAAATGGCAACAGAATTAAAGGACTGATACAAAGAAAGAGAAAAAAAAAAGAGAAAGAGCCAGGTAAAAATCATGAGAATTAAAATGAGAAATAGCACTCAGTGTTCAAATCCAGAACTGCACAGGTCAAAGGGTGGCCCTGACATCCCCATTTCTAAAATGCTCTGTCTTTCCTCTCCTTTTCCTGTCATTTCCTGTCCTCTGCTACATTTTGTCACTGCTGGAGTACCAATAAAATCCATGAGCAAAGCAAGGGACGTCACAGGGTAGTGAATCCAATACTGGGGACATGTGACTGTCACATGCACAGCCAGACCTGTCACTTGCAGCCAGCAACTCATCAGTCACAATTTTTGAACAGATGGGAGCAGGAGTTCCACTTCAAAGAGTGTTTTATAGTTCATTTATTGTATCACTTCCATTCATTTAATGCTACCTCGAGCTGGCTCATATAGACTAAAAATAGCCCAACATTTTCTGGACTGTTGAACGTGCTCTTTTCTAATTATTCTTGATAACTGCAGGGTTATTTCACTGCCAGTCTGGTTTCACATGGTTCAATACTCAACACAGAGCAACAAATGGTGGAACTAATGATGGAACTAAGCAGTTCAGAGAAACAGCCAGAAAGTTCTCTGAAACCAAACCAAACCAGACTGTGAACAGCAACCAACTGGAAAGAAAAAAAACTATATCAGCTTAAAGAGAAATTACTCCAGCTTTTACTGCTTGGTAAACAGAGCTGAAGTCTGACACTGTGGTTGCAACATATTGTAAGGATGCATATTAAAGGTCAGAGGGATACTGAGCTGAGAACTCAGAACAGCCAATACCTGCCAACAAAAGGAGTGCTGGTCACTGGCTCTGCTCTTGGAGGTGAAGTAGAATTACTGAGATGCCCAAATTGAGGTTAAAATTCCCACTCAAGCTTTTAATAAAAGGAGAGTATCTATCCTGTTGAAAAATGCTACTTCAAGGTTCTGTTACACGGGGCAAGAGGTGCTGCAGCATCACATTTCCTGTGCTAAAAGGTGTTATTATTCAGGCTCTTCCAGACGTGTGATCCTTCAAATGTTTATTTCCTTCTAACATTTTGGCAAACTAACTCAGCTGTCCAAGGCCATGGTTTTACATAGGATCATATTTATTCACTCCTTAATCAAAAAGGCAAGAGCCCAAAGCACTTCTGCCCCAGCAAGGACCTGCTGCCCCCAGCACAGCAGCTGCAGAAGACGCTGGGAGGGAGCTCCAGACCACAGGATGAAGATGATTCCATGGAGAGAACGTGCTAAAAATGAGGCCAAGCCATTTTCAGAAGGACAAAAACCTGACTGGAGAAACCCCAGGTAACATTCTACCTGAGTTTGTTCCTTAAAAATGGAAACACAGACACAATTTGAGAATTTCTCTTTAAAGCAAGACTAAACCATTTATTCCACTGTTCTTTATCATTACCAACTAAAGTAGTTTACTGTGTATCAGATTTTATGGCCTGCTCTATCACAGAAATCAGATTACTGTCCCCTTTCCAATTTCCCCTCTCCTGAGCAATAAGCACAACTTCAGAACAGGAGGTTTGTCCCTTCTTGCTCTTCTCCTGCATGGAAAATACCTGCTCTGCAGACTTCTGCTACTCAGAGTTTGACACAACTGTGCTAAGAAGAGTATTTATATCCATCACAGCTCCAACAGCAAAACAGATCCTTTCCTGAACAGAAAATGAGGTCTGACTTTTTCAGAAAGAGTAGCCAAATTTTGCCAGCAGGCAACTCATCCCCTCCACGTCATTGTCCAGAGGGAGCCCAGGCATTCCCAGCAAAGGACTTGCATGGAAGTACCTGTTGCTGTGGTGGATTGCTTTTAGCACCTGTAAAAACAAACAAAAAAAAACCCCAAACCTATGTAGTATCACAGCCCAACAGGAAAACAGATTTTTATAAATCATCAGTAAGTTTTCTGAAAGGTGAGTGTTAAGCGTGTTAATCACTAGGCCAAGGTATTTACCTTTTTTGACTTGGGAAGGGAGATGAATAATACAAAGTTTTCAGCATAGATTTCTAAGAAATCATTGCTTTATGATAGAAAGAATCCTTGAACAGAGTTTTTCCACAGAAATTAGCAACCTGAAATCTGAAATATATTTACATGGAAAAGCAAACCAGTTGCTTCCAGACAAGGGCAGGTGTCCCACCAGACATGCTCCTTGTGATGCTCAGGAATGCCAAATATCAGGAGAGGCTGGGATACCTCTGGCAAAGTGGTCACATCTAACAAATAACAGGATGCTCACCAAAATATTGCCCATCCACTCCAAGTGCTCCCAAATCAGGACAAACAACACGTACCCTGGAAGTCTGAACCCCCCAAATCTGTGCCCTCAACCAAATAAACTAACTTGCAATTCAGAGAGATATTTACAGGATTTATAGATGTATTTGTTATCATCTCTTTTCAGGGGAAAAAAGTCCGCAGACAACAAGCATACCTGCTAGCAAATATGTGGGCAGAGTATTAAATGTCATGGGTTTTCTTTGTAGTTGAAATGAATTTCATGGTCAAATTGAACACAACTGAACAGAGATATTATCCAGTGCCCTGGACTGAAACACATGGCTCACAATCATGTCTCTGCTCTGCTCCTTCCTCTCACCTCAGCTCCCCTTGAGGATTCCAGACAATGGCATGGTTCTCCTGCCAGTTTTAAGAAATGTGATATATTATGTGCTGCTACAGCATCTACTTTTAACCCAGAGAGAAAAGTAGTTTGTTTTATTTTTACTCCTTTGGGATGTTCGTGGATTCCTCAGAACTGGCTACAAGATGATGATATTTTTAAAAGCTCTCTTCAAGTTTATGCTTTGCTTTGCCATAAAATAAATCCACCCTTACAATGGAGCACAGGAAGATGGAGGATAAATAGAACTCTGTTGGCTGGAAATGCCATTTTGCAGGAGGAATTGATCACAAGTCTTCAAATAGCACATCCCAAGTGATCAAGAAAACTCCTCTTTCCACACTGACTGCCGACACATGAATATTCATTATTTTGCTGGTTAAACACAGCTTTTTATGGGCTTGGGATTTGCTTGTTCGTTTTTTAGGTAAAATCAAATGTCCTTTTCCTAATTCTGATCTAATTCTTAGTCTCCCCGAGGAAAAAACCTCACAGGTTTAATAATGACAAAGAAGATTAAAACCCCATGCAAAGCAGTTTAAGCAATTATTTCAAGCTGTACTCTGAAGACCAGATTTCCCCCTCCCCCTCCTATTACATAAAGTACATGTTCCTCTGCTTCCCAGGCCTAGAAAGCTTTCCAAGCTTTATTAGCCAGAGATCAATAAACTGATCACCTTTTCCTTTAGGACCACCAGGGATGTTTAGCTCACTTTTAAAGGGGTATGGCTGAAAATGTTATTTATCTGCAATACTAAACTTCTGTACTAAAGCCACTCAGTTTAGGTGAGCTGTGCTGTCACGCCAGCAACTTGCAGTTCCAACTTACACGATCAGTGAATTCAGATTAAAAATCTGAATCAGTTGAGAGATATTGTTTTCTGAAAAAGCTTCCTGGCAGTCAGTTGGGACTGCACTGCCAGGACTGGGTTGTTTCTCCAGGACTCACCACACTGGTCCCACTCTGAACCTTCCTTCCAGCTTCAACCATAGTTTCTTTTTTTCTCTTAATAAGGCTGAAACCTTCTCTTAAAAACAGTTTTTGTCTTACATTTCCTTGTTGAACATAGGTTAATTCATTGCTTTAAAATTGTCTTACAATAGCTTGAAGGCTACTATAAGCTTACTGGGAAGACAAATTCACTTAAATGCAAGTTTTTATAACAAGATAAACAAAGATTACAAACCATTGACCTATTCTGACAGGTTCACTTTGCTCCCTGCCTGAAACACACCAAATCTTCAACCTCAACAGAGCAAATAAAACCCAAACTCAAGGTAAGGCACCTCAATCTACACCTATGAAGTTTTCTTAGTCACAGATCTTTGAACAACTACAACAATATGTGTCCATACTCCAGGGCAATTATTTTTCATCATCCAGAGCCTGTTGTTTTGTCACAACACAGTTCTGTACTTCACAAGAAGCCAGCAGTGCTGTGATGTACAAAGATGGCTTAATTTAGAGAAAGGTAAAAGGCATTTTAGGTATTTTGAGTTTTTCAATGGGTACAGTAAATTTATAAGGGCTCAGAAAAGGAATATATGTGCAGAGGTGTAAATGGAATTTTATACAACTGCAGTCAACGCAGAAAAAACTGAAGGTGGTTTTACTTGAGCTCTTCTGACATTCTCACAGGGACTTCACAAGCCCAGCTGCTTTTACAAGCTGAAGGCAAAACTTTGTCATCTTCTCAGGTACAATCCTCTCACTGAGCCCACATAACTGGGTACAACACCCTTACGGACTCAATGCAGGATTAGGTCATGGTGACTTCCATGAACAAAGGCTGGAAGTTGGCAGAGCTGAGGAATTGCAGCAGGCGTGGAAATGAACTCATGGGTAACACCACGAGTGTGTCCTCAAACAGAAACCAAAGAACCAGATGTCAAGGTACCTTTTTCATTTCATTTTCCAGGTTTTCTTCCTCCTGCCCTTCAGACAGGCGCCGTCTCAGCTCTGCTATTTCCCGCTCCACGTTCTCCCGGTATTGGTTCCACTGAGCCCGTTCCTGCTCCAACCTGTGGTGATACTGGAGCTCGTAGTCACGAACTGTCTCTGCAAAACAGCATTGGCAGAACTGCTTTTCAATGTAAGTTAAAGGACAGAGCTTTAGGAGCTTCATCTCCAACCAGTCAGTGATTTATTATAATTAGTCAAAACCGGGACAACCATGAACTCTCCCTTCCCTTTGATTCTTGCCCCAAAACCCAAATACTTAAGTCAAAAATCCAAAGGAACTGAATCTCAATTTGTGCCAACACTAGAACACAAACAAGCCCTCAAATCTGTGTAACTCTTAATTTCAAAGTAATTGTAAAATGCAAAGTAAAAGGAAAAGTACGTGACTATCATCCCATTTAGCAGCACATTTTGTACCTCCAAGCACATCGTGCAAACAAACCACCAAAACCTTACTTATTTACTGCAAAATGCAAAGACATTAAAACTTCTCACATGGCTTGCGTTTCCTGATGATTAACAGTTCCCCCTCAGGTAAGGAGCCGTCTGTGTTTACACAGGGACAGCAGCTGGCACAACTGAGCCTTAATCTAGGTTCATGTATCTATGCAGATCATAAATAAACAGACTTTTGTGTACTCAATATACATGAAGGTTTGTCTTTTCTGGGTGAAAAGCATCATCAGGTGATGGAAGAACTGCCTACAGCCAACAGGCTCAGGGCAGTGTGATCCTGTTTGTGAACCTTTAAGAAAACAGACAGCTGTGGCAACAGTCTGTCCCACTTTATATCCTGCCTTTTGCTCCTTGCACTTTGTCTCAGAAATGTCAACAGCTGTACAACCTGCAAATGTAACAAAGAACAGAAGCCAGGACTGACCCAGAGCAGCATGTGCAGTCCCCAGCCTGGGGAAAAGCCCACCTGGGTGAGAGAAGAACTATGTTCACACAGAAGAAGAGAATCGTGCTGTCAGCCCAAAGCTGTTTCCAGACTTGTCAAATTACAAGCATCACACTTCTATATCTTCATGGAAGGATGAAGTATCACATTCATAGTCCCTCAAAGATGCTTTGCATATACATGAGAGTTGCTATTGCCATGATTACTTCTAAATTCTATCCTTATGTTAACAGAACAGAAAGCAGCAAGCTCCTTTTCACACTCCTGGGAACTACACTGCAACCGGCACTTCTGAGTTTCCCCAGCCATGACAAGCAGTTATCCACATTCCCTGCAAAAGCAGGCACAAATCCCTGAAGGGGTGGCTGATCTCAGCAGCCTGCCTGGTTGTTACCTTTCATAATGGCCTGTAGTGAAGCTACTTCTTCTTGCCACTGTCTCTTCACCTCGTCGATGGCCTCCTGCTTGGTGGTCTCTGACACTGTGGCTATTGCTTTGATGTTCTCCATCTCGGCATGAGCTTCCATCAGCTGGGTCCTCAGCTGGCCCAGATCATCCTGGGCTGCCTGCAGCACTGCATTCTGTCTTTTCAGGTCCTCTGGAAGAAGGATTACGTATCTTTAGCTTGATTAATAAATTCAGCCTGAGGAGTATCCCCAGTTGCTATGGCAAAGAACAGTGCACTGATATTAAAACATCTACCACAATAACTGAACAAAAGTTGGTAGGTATCTTTAGGGAGTGCTAGTTCTTGACTTTGTTTGCCCTTGTTTTTATTAAAGGAGTATATTCACATGGATACAGCCACAAAGCAGACACTGCAGATATAACCTAAGGCCCAAGGTACCTGATGAAAGTCAACTGCTTTTATTTGGTTATCATTATTTAACTCGTTCTGGTAAAGAATCTTGAAAAGGTAAGAAAAATAGACAGGAGGACAGTCTTTCCCCCACTTCTGGCACCAACCTGGTTCTGAATTTGGATAGAACACTTCATATTTCTCCAACAGAAACTCTCTGTGAACACTTCATGGAGCCCACACAAGAAAACCATCCAGACTAATCTGCTCTTTACTGTGACTTTGCTAACAGGGAGCTTCTGCTAATAAAAGGATATATTCAGTGGAACACCCACTATTTCTCTAATTGTTGCAACTACAAACAGAAATTAAATTAATTTCATTTCATCCTCCTGAGTTATCAGTTCATCTGAAGCAAACAGCTCTGGGAGATCTATATTATATAATTAATTCCAAAAGCACTGGCAGGAAACACAGTTTTGTGTTAGCCTGTTCCACTTCCAGCTCAAACATCTGGCCAGTGCACAACGAACACCAAGCCATCTCCATGTATTTCCCTCACTGCCAAAAAATCAATCCTGGTGCTCCCACCCCTTGATAGAGAATATGGAACCCAGAGCTAAGCAGGTACTTAAAAGGGCATTAAGCCTTCTGTAAAAAAAACAAGTCTCTGTAGCATTTCTATTATTTAGTTTTCAAACAACTCTATTTAAGGATGGGTTGCAGCAGTCCCAAAGTACATTTAGGAAAGGGTCTGGGAGACAGGGAAGCAAAAAAAAAAAGGAAAGTAATTGCTTGTATATTCTCCTCTGGTGTCCCTTCATTTCAGTACATGTGAAAGTTGTTTTTGTTTTCTTCCCCTGGCACAATTTATTTTTATTTTCTATTTTTTGACTGTCCCGAAATGGGAGAATTATTGCTGATCTCATCAGCAGTGTCTTGTGTATCTTAAAATTTCCTTTCATCCAGCTGCTAAAACACCAAGAAACAGGCTTTCTGTGTGATCTGATCTTCATTATGCCTGTTGTATTTCTGCTCTCAGAAGCTTATACAGCAGCTGCAGTCTTAATGCATTATTTTTTTGGCTTTGCTTTCATATGTTAAAGACAGGAAAATGGTCAGAAATAGAAATAAATCAATTTGGCTCTCAGAGCTCTACTCTCCAATTCTTCATCAGATATTTGAGCTCATATGGTTTGAATTTTCCTATAAATTGTGTTATCGAAATAGATGCCCTTGGCTGGTATTAAAACTTTGATGATGTTTGCCTGCTTACAGCCTACCTCAGATGGACATTTAAGACAAATCAATGCTCCACAGAAAAGCTGGCCCCAAAGTACAACCAGCACAGCAGCCAGATGTCTTTCCACTTCCCAGATCAGCTGCTGCTCAGAGAAAAGGAGCTCACAATGAGTTCAGGCAGAATTAAAACTCACTGGTGGAGTTTCACGTGGCCATCAAGTTGCTCTGACTCCCGTCCATGCAGGCAAATCTTTAAATTTAATTCTAAAAATCCACTCCAGGAAGCTAAACAGCCACCTATTGAATTTTACTCTGCTTCTCTCTCATGTTCTTATTGCACCTGTTCAAAAGCCTGTTGTTCCTACAGAGATTATTTCAGGAGAATTGAGGACTTACCTTCCTTAGCCAGGTATAGCTCCTTAAATTTTGCTCTCTTTTGATTAAATTCTTGCTCAAGTTGCTGCTTTGTGCGCAGAAATTCTGCATTGACCTTTTCCAATTCTGCCACCCGTTGTAGAAGAGCAACTAAAAATAAACCAGAAGATAAGGTACGTCACTAACAGTTATCCAGGAACCCAAATCTGCAAGACTGAGGTTCAGGGCTCACTCTTTTTAAAACATCTCCATCATTAGCTCAGCCACTGCCCCATGATATATCAGGACAACTAGTCAGCCCTCTGAGGAACAAAGAAGGATAAGGGAATTCTGCAGAAAACAATCTCCCAAAGAAAACCACAATTTCCTATATAGGGAGAAGGAAGAAATAGAAATAGTTCTGGTGATTTTTTTTTTTCTTCCATTGGTGCTTCTTTCCAAAACACTGGGAGTTTAGTCCTGAGGCACAGGAGCAGTATGTGAGGGCTGAGTAACAAAGCACCAAGTTCCCAGGGGCTGAGGTCAAAGAAAACAAAGTGACAGCAGCTCAGCTCACAGCCAGGGAAAGACAAAGCACAGGAAAACCCATAAGCTAAAAATTAGGTGCCATTATCTATCCAGGCTTCAGTTCTGCATGTTCACCAGAAGATGAACGAGATCACATTCAGAGAAGTTTGCCAGGAGATGACCACGACTGAGGGAGAAGTTACTGATTTTAAGAACAAAGTCTTATTTCCAGCAGGTAAAAACCCTCAAGGACACACAAACATCACACTGTTTTCCAGAGTTTACCACATTAGCAGTACAAGGAAAGAGGGAAGAGCAAGAAGTTCACAAAGCACCTAAAGACTGTTACAAAATGCTTATAATTGAAAAAAAACCCCAATACCATTGTACGATGGTGTAAAGACCCCAGACAATGACTGACCCTCTAACACCGTCCTTCATGTGCAAGAGCAATTCCTTTGCACCTCAAGAGGCACAGCTCTGCTTTAGGTGGCAGTTTCACCTTGCACAGCTCAAAACTCAAACACCAAACAGAAACAAGAGCCAGATGAGCCAGGGCCAAACCCCCCTCCCTGCTGGGATGCACTGGGGGAAAAAACATTCCCCTCCACGAGTGTCTGTGACTGTTCTGCAAAAGCACTCTGTGGCCATGGGCCAATTCTGCTGTGCAAAGCTGAACCACTTCAGCTCAGCCTGCCCAGCACGGGCTGGACACGTCAAATATCGACCCCCCAGAGGTGTTTCCAGGTCCCACCCCACGCGCTGCCCACCAGAGGAGAGTCCTGAAAACGGAGCACAACTACAACACAGTCAGACTTCAGCATCAGACACTCAGACTGAAAACCAGCTGGAAGCAGCCCCAGAGCTCACAGTGGTAAATCCCTGCACGGTCGATGCCTCTGAGATGGGGTGAGTTATGTTTATTTTTAGCACCAGATGACGTAGAATAAGAACAGACACAAACAAAAGGGCTATTTAAGAGCACAGGTATGTTTTACTGATTGCTGCTTGTGAGGGCTTATGGTGTTACAAAACACAGCACTTAATGTGCTCAACTTTGTACTGAATAAGATATATGTAGATATAATATTAAATAATAAAATATATATAAAATAAGTAACACAATAAATAATAGAAGATATATAAGAGATATCTTTATATCTGATATATCTTTATATCTTATTATATTTTTATATAAAGATATATATATGAAATATATTTTAAATGTATCTGATATATCTTTATATCTTGATATCTGAATAAAAGATATATGTACATACAGGATTGAAGACATTTTAACATCGCTTTTTTACCAAAATCCTGGGGGTTTATCACCTTAAATACAAACACATGAATTTTTCTGGCCAGCAACCCCCTGTGTGGAGAGTTCAAACCAACTGCACAGGAGTGTTCTGAAAAGCTGAAAGCTGAATCAACTGCAAACATCACTCAAACCTCCTGCTCCCAAAGACAATCCAAGACAATCCAAGACTCTGTTTACTTGATTTCCTTCCCATCTGCCTTTAGCAAAGAGCAGGAACTGCTGGGCAACACAACAGAGCTGCATTTCTTCCAAAAGTAAGAGTTGCATCTGCTGAGGATGGAAGGACAAGAGGACACCACAAGACAGAAAGTTCAAGTGCTTTAAGCAGGAGAAAGAACAGACTCATCCTTTTTTAATCCTCCCGCCCAAACACAAAGAGGGAGGGGTAGAGTCACCAGGAAGGAAATGAAATTTAAATATTTACATTTTTTACAGTATTCCCCCTGTCTGCAGCCTGGTGGGTATGTCTAAAAAGTAATAAATAAATAACTAATCAACCCCCACCACAACTGAGCTCTGGCAGCTGTCGGGACCAGCTGCAAGCATTCAAAAAAACCACAGAGTTTAAGATCTCAAACTGCAGGTCATGCATCACTGCAGCTGTGCATGAACATCCTTCTTTCTGTTCAGATACTCGGTTTAAAGTGGTTTTACCACCTGTGCTACACCAACAGCTCGGGACAGACCTTGGCACATCCCCACCACAGTGGTACAGTAAACATCAACCCCCTCAAATGCACGTGCGTAAAAAGCAAAAGAAAGTTTATTTTCTAAGGCTGGCAATTGCCACCTTTCCCATAAGTGATTAAGTTTCAAAAGGAACTGTTTTCTTTTTCAGGGGTATAATTTGTACCACAGCAATACAGACACTTCCCAAAATGATCCCAAACCCAGAGTGCCAGCCGCAGGTACCCAAAGGCTACCTGGCATAGATTAAAGTCCAGATGGAACTGCAGTCATTGGCAGGAAATGGGCTCATTCATAGAATTCCAATTAGCCCTTTGTCATTTATCACTCACTTCTTGCTCTAAATTTAGGTCCAACTCACCCCAGGCCTGTAAATGGAGCTGAAACAGAAAACTTCTTTGCCATCACAGGGCATCAACCGAAAAACAACCCCAAAGCCAAACACACATTTTGCAGCGTCAGCACTCCCTGCTTTTCCAGGCGCTGTCCCCGTGCTCCCATTCCCAGCACACAGAAGGCACTATCAATGTTTAACAACACCAGTGAGGGGCAGAGTAAACAGAGCTGGGCAGTGCTGGGGGAGCTGTGCCCGACTGCAACAGGATCCTGTGTTACACACGGCACCAGGACAGGCAGGGAACGCGCTGTCATTCCCAAGAGCAGCGCCCTGGGAGACCTAAAATCCTATTTAGGGCCCTAAGTCATCAAGAAACAAACAAACACCCTGAAGACCCACTTTCTGAACTCCTGAAATAGCACCGAGGAAAAAAAAAATTAAATTGAAATTGATGAGCCAAACTAAAAAAAAACAAACCAGAAATCCCTTTGGCCAACAATTTATTAGCTGTAAATGGTACTTTTCCCCCAGATTATTAGGACAAATAGAATGCTGATGACAGAATTACACACAGTAATTAAATTACCAGCTTTGTTTCTAGCTAAGAACACAGATTTTACAGAGACACAATAGGTCAGATGCAGGAATGCCCATCCCCCTGACACTACAGCAAAGCACAGTGTATGTTATCGTGTGCCTGAACCCAAGAGAAAGGCAGCAAAATTCATCTCAGAGCAGAGTCATCAATCTACAGGAAAACCATTAAACTACTGAAATACACACAGAGAAACTCTAGTGAAAAACATACAACTTTCTCTGAACCTCCTACCCAGCAAAATTCCAATTCTAGGAAAACACAGGAACAAACACACATTACTTATTGACTGGTTATTTATATGCTGCTCCACTGATCAGCTCCAAAAAGGATTAAATTTTATGTATGACAGAGTTTCTGTTACACAAACATGGAGGGCCCATTCCAGAACCAAGACAGACAAAGCTGATTATCAATGAGACTATTTTTGAGTACTAGGTCTATTTATAAAATTAATGCCACAAAGCCTCCTGCTCAATATTTAAGGTATCAAACACGACATCAAGAGTTCAGCCCTACACAGCTGAAACAGGAAAACAGATCAGGAAACAAAAATCTATAGGTACAATAAATTTTCTGTCATTTTCTACCCTTCTTTCCCCATCATGACTGCTCCAGACAAAAAGCAAGATAAAATAAAAATATATGGCTGCTCATTTCCTAAGGGTACTAATTTTCCTCTGTTGTGACATCACACTGGAGCCACAGTTATGTTACCATATAAATTTTTAATCTAAGTCTGCCACCACGACATGTATTTAGACTGCAAAAAGCTTTTCTTTACTTTATTCAAAGAGGGTTTGAATAAAAAAAGAACAACCAACCTCCCAACCCTCCCCACTCTTCCAACAACTCCAATCCAGCTGTTTGCACCAGGCACTCAGAAGCCAAGGAACAGATCGTGGTTCTTTGAATAAAAACGTTGAACGGAAGCAATTCCTGACTTAGGAAGTGTGGGTTGCTCTTTCTGCAAGGAAAAACCAAGTTGCCCTGGCACACAGATACTGAGCAGCAGCAGCACAGCAAACCAAAAAGAGGGGAAAAAAAAAAGGAAGAAAAGAATTACTTGCTTTTCTCAGCCTTTCATTTGGGAGCTTCAAGCATTTCACTCACCAGGACAAGCGGCTCGAGCTCAGCGGTCACCGCGCGCTCCCCTCATTTCATCTCCCCCAACTCTCACTTGCCACCTTCCTTTTCAGAGTGGCAACAAACCCCTCTGGGCTGAGACTGTCACAGCTCCTTTTTCAGAGCATTTCACTGCCTGCAATGACGGTAACCCAGCTATAAAAAGGGGCAGAGCAGGTGATTCTGCCCCCAGCTGTGCCCCGGCAGAAGGGCCGTTGCAGCGAGTCCTTCTGCAGAAGTCACCCAGTTCCCCATTTGGGGTTTTCAGAGACACTGCTGCATTCAGCCAACCATTTCTGCTTTATTGTGCAGCTGAAGGTTATTTGACATCCACACTTTGTTCTCTGTTGACTGAACATTCCCAGGCAAACAATCCAGTACCAGTTGAACACCACACACAAACTCAGTGTTGCAGACAGCACAGAGCAGAACTAAGCCTTGCTCGCATCATATCTCTTAGAGTATATTTTTATTTACTGCAGGATTAAAAATATTCAACTGGGATGTTGCAAACACCCAACCACATTATAAATACTCCACTGGTATCAAGTGGAAGCATGCAATGTGCTACTGAA